CCACCCCCCCTCCCAGCGCTGACCCCCATCCCTGCACCCCCAGGCTGGCACTGCGCCCCTCCCGGCACCATGGCGCAGGTGGGCCACAGGGTGGATTACCTGGCCGGTTTCTGCTGCCCGGTGGGGGGGCTGGTAGCAGGCAAGCCCCGGGTGCTGTGCCATGAGAACGAGATCTACCTCTCCAACGGCAGTGAGTTCGTCTACGTCTATGACCAGGAGGGGAAGGTGCTGAAGGTGAGTGGACTGGTAGGGCTGGGGGGTGGGGGGGCTTCACCCCAAGCCCCCCGTGCCGGGAGGGTGCTCTGGGGTTGGGGGCTGGTGTGCCGGGACAGGGCGAAGGTGGTGGAGATGCCAGTCGTGTTCCCTGTCACCGGTCGCCCAGTCTAAATGGGATCCCTCCATTGGTGTCCCCCCTATCCACAAACGAACTTCACGAGCCACCCCAAACCCCCTTACCTGGCTCCAAGGCCCCTTCTGGGGGTGGGGGGTGCTGCCGTCTGGCCCCTCTCCTAAACTTGTGAGACAAACATTTAATTAAACTAGAAAGGCTTTTTTCTCTCCCCGAGCAAAGTGACATCTCTTTCATTTCTCACCTACAAAGGGTTTCACTATTGTCTTTGCTGTGACTAACAGCAGTCGTCGTGTTGAGTTATACACAGCTTCTTTTTTTAATTTTTTCCTATTATCATTTCTAAGAAAGCCAGCACTGTAATGTCAGGAATTTCCTCCTACACTGCACTCCTTCTTGGGAAAGTAGAGCATGTACTGGCTTTCTGGTCGCTATTTTCCTTCCCCTCAGGGAGTGTGAGCGATGTGCTACCTCGTTACCTGCAGCCCTTCTCCCGACACCCTGCTGCCCTTCACTGAGGGCGGCTGCCCCTTGCCCAGGAAAGCCCAGCTGGGTCCGCAATCTGCGGTGCTGCCCAGGGATAGATTTAGTCCTGGAAATTGCTTGTAATCTGCGTTTGCAGGAAATAACGGCTTTAATTCACAGTTGCATTAGGGTTGCCCAGGAGGGAGCGTTGTCCAGCGAGTGGTTTCTTTCTTTACCTGGCACGGGTGAGCAGGGCTCTGCCCGGCCTGGCAGCCTGGGCACCGTGGGTCCCGCGGCACTTGCACCTGCAGCAAGTCGCCCCATCCCCACTGCCCCTCTGGGTTCCGTAGAAAGATGACTTTTTTTCTGTTTTCCCACCCAGGCCGTGTACCGGTGCCCCGACCAGGTGTGGCACGTGGAGCTGCTGCCCCAGCCCCGGCATCTTTACATCCTCTGTGCCCACAGCGGCATTTACTGTGTCTCCCTGGACCAGCAGAGCAGGTGAGCCGGCTGTCACCGCCAGGGGCGCGAGCCAGTCCCGTGCTGTTAGTCCTGGAGTCCTGGGGCTGCTTCTCGTGGCTGGGGTGACATGTTGGGCTTCCGCCGCTGCCCTCTCCCTACCCGTCCTCCCGCAGGCATGGGAAACATTAGGCGGTCTGAGGCTCTGGCTCTCTCTGGATCGCCGCTCTTGCAGCAGATGCTAAAAGCCGTGCTGCGGGGAGCTTGTTTCCGAGGGCCAGGGTAAGAGGCAGCCAAGGGAAGCGCTGGCTTCGCCCCATGGCTTGGCTGAGAGCTCTTCCCTGTTTGCTTGAAGGTTAATGGAGCAGACGGATGGCGACGGCCAAGAAAGCAATTGCCCTTCCGGCGTCTTCCCTGTGGACTCGGATGCCTGCATCTTCCCAGACTCCAGCCTGTGCATGTTCACTCTGCTCAACAACTTTGT